TATAGAAGCTTTTGCATACGAAAAATTTAGTATGTACATGTAAAATTTAAAAAAAATTTAAATTGGTAAAATTAATTTGTTTAATACCTGGGCACCGTTTTGTTAGAATCAAATCTTTGAAATGCCAGCCGGCAACATGGTTACGGCGCTTAGATTTTATTATTTTCATATAAATAGGTATAGTCCTAAAAATGGAGTATAACTTATAAATATTATTCATTAACGATATCTGGCCATAAACCAGCATTTATATTTCTCTATCGATTTCTTTAGATAGAAAACAATTTTTCTAAAATAAAGTATGCAATTTGTACCTTTTAAAAAAATAAATCATGGAACTTATTATAAAATTAGTGAACGTAAGCAAGAAGCCCATTTTATATTTTTTTAAATTCACACGGCATGAAAAATACAGTTTACTTATATTAAAAATACGTAGGAATGACAGCATAATAGACATTGTGGGTGTTGAAGGTTCTTTGATGTATAAACTGTAGTTCTTATATAGAGTCGCACTATTATGTGTTTAAATCGTAGCAATCTCCAATACACCACTTTTTGCTTTGGGCATTTTTTGTCAATTTCCTACACAAAATGTGGCAAGCGTCTGCTAAAATTACGAAGAAAACAATCAACAACCGAGCGTAACACTACCTGGTGAAATCTGCAAGCAGACTGAATCGAAATTCGCTGCTTTGCTTCTGTATACGCATAGTTGCCAACTTGGTGCTTTAAGCACTAGATTTAGTGCTTTTTGAAAATTAAAACGCCAAAAAAATTACTTAGTGCCTAGTGCCTTTTTTAGTGCTTTTTTTGAACTAATATTACTCCGAAATAGTTAAAATCTGAAATAATTTGAAATGTTATAAGCTGCGGTGTCTCATGAAGATGCGGAATTTACAAGAATATAAAAATTTAAATGCACTAAAATACAACCATGATTGATAAAAAGCTAAAGTTGCAAACCCACCTTGTTGAATTCAAGTCGCGTTGAAAAAGGTAGTACGCAGGTAAGTTAAGTATTTCTTTTTTTCTTTTCTAATTGTTTGTACAAATTTTATTTTTTTACCACCTGAGTAAAACATCGTTTCTTGGTGCTGAATCCAAATCTGCCCGCACAATTGCTCTAGTACTAGAGTTTTTAGATATCCTACCCCCAGATTGCCAACAACACAGGTTTTAGCGATTTTTGAGGTTATATAATGAAAATATCAAATTTTTTGCTCACTTCTACTTAGGGCATTATTTTCGTGTGTTGCGATTCGATTTTTTTCTCGAGGTATAGTAGTTTTAATAGTACTTCGGTATTACGTCGTAAGCATGAGTCATCATGGCATGTATAGAGGCTATTCAATCGTTATGAGCGCAAACGTTTTGTGTATTGATTTATGTACATATGTATTCTTGTAAATATTGTTAATTTTTTGCATTTGTTAAATGCAAACTGTTATGAAACTGAACTGTTATGTTATATTTTTATCGGTTCTATTATCTTAACCATACCACGTATTCTACGTTTAAATTTAGCGGCTGTATCTCCGATACAGTCTGCAGACCAAGACGAAGGCGCTGGACTGTTCCATTTGTTTTAATTTTTCTACCTTAAAATGGAAGAATGTAAATGAATAATGAAAAACATTCAAATCATTCAAACTCATTTCGGTAAAAGTTTTTTTCTACAAACAAGTTTGTTCGTATTATAGGTGCGCAGCATTACATTAATACATACATATGTACATAGAAAAAATGTTTTTGGATATTCATACAAAAAATTGTCATTTATTTCAATTCAATTTATTTTCACTTTGTTTGAATATTGTAATGTCGACACATATATCAGAACAGGTATTCACTCAAATTCAAAAAAATTTTAAGCCAAAATCGTTTTTATATGAATAATTCATAAGCCGTTTTGAATGAATTCATGCAGTCCTCTAATACCTACACATATGTACTTTGTACTTTTTCAAACAGACAAGAAATAAATAAATTTTAACATTTTTTGGTTGTATGAAATATATATATACATACATACATGTTATGTACCAATAAGTTCAATTTATTAAAAATTAATTTAAATCAATTAATTACACATGCGAATCTTTAGCAGCTGACCACACATGGTGCGGGCCATTTTTGTTTACAAGTTCCTTGCATAGCATTATGCTATTGATACTGTCAATGTTAAGTTTACTTCTTAGTTTAGTTTTTATCAAAGAAAGCGTTGAAAGCTTGGGTTCTGCAGCCGCAGAGCTATGTGGTAATGAAATAATATTAAAAACAAAATTGGCGAGATGCATGAAGATATTTTCATTCATTCCATTTTTGATAGAATCAACTCTTTCCGAAAACGTATCAATATCCAGATCGCTGGAAATATCAAGTTCACTTAGCCTTAGTAAATTCCACTGCGTGGTTATTATATCAGGATCGCAATGAGATGGGAAAACCTTATCAGAAGATGTAAAATTGGTAAATCTTCGTTAGAAACTACCTTAGCTGATGTTATTATTTGTAAAAGTTTTATATCTTCACGCTTGAAATCAAATCTTAAGTTTATTGGGTCCAAAAACTCTTATGTAAAACTTTAATGTACATATAGGTTTTAACTTCAAGAATTTCAGAACAATTGACATTACTTTTCATAAACATCTCAGCTTTTGTTCCAACAATAATATCAGATATTTTAATATGATTATTTTCATTTTTAAAATCAATATTAATATTATTACTGATCGCATCTTTTGTAACAAAGTTATTAAAATTTAAGAGATAATGTGCTTTGATAGTTGCATATACATAAGTATGTCAAACGAGGTCTTTCAGCTTGGAACTCTTTGTTAAGATATTTAATTATGGGCAAAATATACGATAGAAATAACAAATATCATCATTATTTGTGATCGAAAAAATAAGATTCAAATAATAATTATTTCTTTGTCAATGTTATTGTGGCTTATTAAAATTTTTATTTTTAATATTTTTATTGAGCTTATTTTATTAAGCAAATGGATGTATAGAATTGAAAACAACAACCACGCTGGCAAGTTTAAATAGCGGCAAATCAGCTGCACTTGATAGTAGTTGGTTGAATAAGGAAAATAAATTAGCAACAAGAGCTTACGGGGTGTACATAGCTCAGTGGTTAACGCTTCTGACTTTGAACATCAATTACGCAGGTTCGATCCCTGCTGAAGTCTAGAAAAAAGAGGTCTGATGAGGAGATGTGATCTCCGAAATAGCTGCAATAACTTCTACCGCTATGACTTTGTTGCTTTTCCAATTTTTCCTAATAAACAATCGTGGTACAATGCTCAATAAAAATATTAAAAATAATTATTTCTGCTGAGTAAAAAAATAAAACTCGATACTAATTATTATTTTTAAGTGAAAAATATAAATATCATAACATAATGATTAAATGCTGATATAAATTGTTTTACACATAATGATTACCGTCCCTTCAAAAATTTATTTTCTAATAAAAAGATTTTACCTGCCATTTCATACCGAATAATAAGTATATTGTAGCCACCCGCATTAACGCATAATCGCGTTAGTAATTGGACACTTCCAGCATTCCACGCACGATTTTGTGGGCTGTACGTTGCTCGCACAGGGCTGCCAACTTGGCTCAAACCGTGCCATTTTTGGCCCTATTTTACATCAAACGGCCAAAATGGCACTTTTGAAAAATAGTAATATTTCAATAAATTTTGTGTAGAATCCTTTGTGTGTACTTCTTTTTCCCAACTAAAGTATTCTAATACCTAAAAGTTATTCAACTGGTTTATCTTATTTTGGCATTGAACTTTTGTTTTAGAAATGTGGTTCTTGTTTTATTGCTAAATGGGAAGGATTAAAAAGGATGACACCTTTTTTGGCACTTTTATTTTTCTATTTGGCACATTTTGGCACTTTTTTAAAATCAATATGTCACCTCTTAGCTAAGTATAGTTGGCAGTCCCGTGCTCGCACGCACCGCAAAATCGTGCCCGTGTTTACGCTGGACACGGCGTAAATGTGCGTATGAGTCGGACGTAGCTAGGGATGGTAGTGATTAATCATTTAATTAAAGTAATCGATTAATTGTAAAATAATCGTAAAAATATTTTCAAGAAATATGAATTCTGTAGTTGTCTAAAATCCAGACATTGAACATTCTTTTTTGCAGTTCAAAAAAATTAATTTCAAAGATCCGTTAGCATTAGCCTCAGTAATGAAGTTCTTGCGAACTTAAACAATGTGCCCCGATGATCTTATGGAAACGGGTAGCGAGTCGTCACTAGAATCAGTAGAAAATGAGTTCGATATTTGGAATTTTTTGCGATGTTGCTTTAACCAGGGCTTAAACCCAGGCGCTGCTTACCACTACACCACATCGGCCGCCAACTACTATTGTAACTACTATTCCTCGTTTAAAAGCGCTCCAAATTCAAAGCTTTTGCCGAGTATGCTTTTTTTGCTTAAGAAAATGTACAAGTAAACACGAATAAAAATTTTTGGGCCTTTCTATGCTTATTTTGAATATTTTTCAAAGATATTTGTTAAAACAACTTTAGATATAGACGAATACGCGACTCATACTGGTTCCAAAGAAGCGTCATGCAATAAGACTACAAACTACATAAATGTTTATGTATGTGTTGAAATATATTCATCTATACAAAATTGAAGCTAAAGTATGCAAATTTTGTGTGTTCTTTACATTAAATGTAAATAATTTTGTACCTGAATTAGAAAAAATAAATTTAAAAAATATTTACATATCCAGTGAAAGTTTTTAGCCACTTTCTTTAGCCAAAAGCTAAAGTTTTTAGCTACTTTTAGCCACTTCTAAAATAGAATCTGGCCACCACTAAAAATTGTCAGCGGCAACACTGGTGCTCCGGTCCGGTTCATCTCTAATTTTTAAAATGCTTTTCATATTTTTAATTATTTGCAATTCAAGATGCGTAACAAAGCATTACTAACGCAATTCATTTTCTTTCTATTTTCAGTTGTGACAAAAATGTGTTAATTGTAAACAAGGAAGGAAGGGGAGAAGTTTGTATTCGTCATAATTAAACCCCCACAATTAGTGCAGCCCAAGGTGTAGATTTCTGTAAAATACCTCGAAAACTTCGGACAAGTGTAAAGAAGAGTAATACGCTTGCCACAATGGCGGCGCGTTGCTTACTCGTGCAACGGCGGGGGTATCCGCTACATAACAGTGAGGTGCGCGATTCTGTTAAGTTTTCTTCAAAAAACCCGCGTATTTTTTCAAATCGTTCGTTTAGTGTCGCGTCGCGTCTCCTCCTTACGTCGCGTTCGTTGTCACTCGCATTTATGTTCACCATCGCTATCTGCGGATCGCTCACCGAAATTCATGGTGCGCAGGCGCTTATGAGCACCACTTCCACGTCTAATGACGGAGTTGGTACAACTAAAATAGTCGGAATTTCAGTGGCTAATGCTGCCCGCATGTTAGCTGGTAGTGGCGGATCTGCTGGCAAAGAATACTCGCTTGTGCTACCACACGATACCTACCCGGGTTTTAGTATTAAGAAATTCAAAACGGTGCCCGTGAATGAGTCAGCCAAATGGGATACAAAGTCCTCATCGCCATCACCAACGGCTGTAGGTGCTTACCATATGCTTGCGGGAGATTACTCCAAATATTTTACTGTGCTCGACGACGGCGTCGTGATGACCACATCCGATATCTCACCACTAGTAAATCGCCCGGTGAATCTTGTTGTGGTCGAAGAGACACCCAATGCCACTAATACGCACAATTTGCAGTTATTTGTGATGCACCGCAGTGACATGTTGCGCTTTCCTGGCTCAATGCTTGACGCTAGCGGTGAGGTGCGTGAGAATCGGCCCGCTGGCACCCGTGTACGAGGAATCCCGCTGATGCAAGCTTTGGGTGGTGATGCGGCGCTGGAAAGTAATGGTGGCGCTGCGAAGAAGATTCGTTACACCATCATCGATGGCAATGATGATCAGGCTTTCGCTTTACAGGCACGTAAATCTGATACGAATAGTGAGATGAGCGTATACTCCATTCTAGTAGATTGCGACGGAGATACTGGTGTGTGGCTAGTCATAAATCGGCCATTGGATCGTGAAACAAAGGCCCACTATGATCTTTCAGTGCAAGCCTCAGACATTGATGAACTCGATAAGACCGTCTCGAAGATACAGGTGACTGTAATGGATGAAAATGATAACCGTCCCATATTTAAATCAAGTGAATACAAATTCGCCATTGCCGGCCAAAAGGATACTGGGCTAGGAGGCAACAGCACGACTATGTGGAAACGCTTCTCCATACTAGGTAAGGTAGAAGCCACCGATGCTGATGGCGACAAGATTGCCTACCGACTGACTGCACCCAGCAATATTGTCATCATTGTGCCGCAAACCGGTGAAATTATGTTGGCCGATCAACCTCGAACTTCTGAGTTGCTGATCGAGGTAGAAGCTCATGATTTACGCTATCCTTCTTTGGTAAGCAAGCAGCCAGCCAAAGTATTGCTTGAGTTCCTAGCTCCCGAGCCGGTTTCCTTTATAATGCAACACTTGGAGCACGATGCTGTCAATGAGCACTCACATCACCGCGAAAAGCGTCGGGTAACGCGCGCGGTACGCCCGACAAAACGTATCGAGTTCACCGAGGCAGATGGCGATACCGAAGGTAAATCTGTCTTCCAACTGGAAAAGGAGACCGATAAGGAAACCTTTAAAATACGTGACGACAATCCTTGGGTGACAGTCGAAACAAATGGTGCGGTGCGTGTGAAAAAGAAGTGGGACTATGAAGAATTAGGACCGGAGAAGACAATCGATTTTTGGGTCATCATAACAAATACTGGACAACACGGTAAGTGATAGAAAGTATTCAGTAAATATTTAATATATCTTCAAATTAATTTTCGTAATAATTATAACTAACAAATATCGATTTGTAAATCCAGTCAGTTTTTCGAGTGTAGTACATTGCAAATTACTGAAATGTACTCGTGCATTTACCAGACCATCGGAAACCAAATTGTCTGACTTTCACTTTGAGACAAGATTGTAAAACCCCAAAGTTGTGCTATATATGTGTATACATTCGTACACTAGATCTTTATCGCCAAAAATGAACCAGTCCGATAGTATCTGGATAACCTCCAGTTGAAAGGCGGCGAATTGTGGTACTTTTAATAACAATTATATTTAATATTTTCAAAACTGCACATCGCCAGGTGAGAGTGAAAAATTGCTAAGTACACTTTTTATAAAAAAGGATACTTACGTAGAAGTAAGAACAATTAAAATTGCAGCGTTTTTTAAGAGATCAAACTAAAATATCCTCAGTTCTATTCGGTGATACGCAAGTTTGCTAAAGTCAACATATGTAGTCACAGAAAATGTGATAAGTCACAAAAACTTCATTAGAAATCCAGATCTAACGAAACGAATATAGAAATGGTTCTGAATTGTAGATAAAGGAATGCAGAACGAACTAGATCTCATCTGTTGAGTTTTTAACTGGTTTGGAACTATCCAATAACAACAAGCACCTCTGCACAGTCAGCTACAGCCAAAGGTATGTAAACGTGTTTTCAACTGCTCAGTTTCAACATACATACATATCTTACAAATAATTTAAATAAATTTGATTTCAAATAGAAAACACATTTCTTCGGAAAAACCTAAAATTGCTATCACGAAAAAAACCAAAAACACTGTTTGAAAGATCATGTTACCTTTTTCGTCTGCCGAATTTATTACTGCATTGGTACTATCGAAAAAGGGATGCAGCGTTGCCAGTTGCTAGCGATCCACACGTTCGAGTCATTGTTCTAAATTCTCTAGTGCCGAATCAGTTCAGAACTAGTGCGTTTCCCCACAGGGATACCATGTAGTTATGTATGTGCATTAGGCTGGTCCAAAAATATGTGCGGGGGAGGTTGTTCTAAACGGTAATTTCTCACCCCCAATAGTTTTTCTAAATAGGGGGAAAATACCCGTATTTTTTGAAAAAAAAGATATTTAGAGCTTCCTCAAAGCCATGTATTTTATACGGGAAAAAAACTTTTTCTTCGAAATGGTATATAACTCTTGAAAATCAATATTTCCCGATCAGAAAATCTCGTTCCCTCTTCCAAGAACAATACTTGTTTATTTGGAAATTTTTTAATATTAACTAATTTTATAGGTCCCCAAAGAATGCAGTGAGGGACCCATAAAATTTTATTAGTATTAAGAAATGGTGAAACAAACAATTGGGTATTATTATTGGAAGTCTCCTGAAGAGAAACCGAGTTTCCGTTAGAAAAATATTGATTTTCCAAAATTTTATACCATTTCTACGAAGAGGTGTTTTTTCTCCATATAAAATACAAGCTTCGTGGGATTTAAGGCAGTTCTAAATATAATTTTTTTTTTTTTAGCAAAAAAATACGATTCTTTTTATTTCATTTAGAAAAATTCTAGGCGGTGAAAAATTAACATCGTACATGGTTTCGTAGAAACGTAGAAACGTGCTGCAACATGTTCGCGTTGCCAAAAAATATATACTTATAATTAAGTGCGACCAAATGACTCATAAATAATGATGAGGGTGTGAAAATGAAAATAGTTCGTGGATGCATATTGGACCAAAAGCAAACGCACTTAACAGTAGAAAATCTCCACTCGCAAGCGGAAAAAATGATACAAATAGGTCAACAATTATCTCAGGCACAAGATAAGCTCTAAAAAATTTTTGTTTAAATTTACGCATATTACGAAAAGTACCCAGTTTCCTCCCTTAAGGCCTGCAAATTTAAACACCCTGCTAACACGGCTTGTTTACTTTTACTTTTAATATGTGTTGAATTCTAAACACTTACAGATCTATTCTGCTTGTTAGCGAACATTTTGACACCGAGAAATTTTGTTCCCAAAAAATGGCATCACTTCTTGTAACCGCAATCCTAAGTACCTTGGTAACGTTTTAATCTATTCAGCAAGGGGGATTATTATAAATTATTCTACTTTAAGCCAGATTTAACGAATCGTCACTGTGTTTTTCAACCAACAAAAATAATTCGTGTTATATGTTGTTTTCTTCTAAATCATTGAAAGTAAAAAAACATACGGCCACCCATTAGCGCACACAAGGGGTGGGTTTTGGGGTTCTATTTTTTTTTTACTACTACTATTTTTTTTTTTAATTTTTTATTACTTTAGCAAGTTGAGCGCATCTTGTGTTTATAGAACTTTATATTAAACAAGTAATTTCAAATTACGGGAAGACCCTTGAGGTACCATCTTTCCGATAAAAAAAAAAAAAAGAATTATTGAAACCGGTTCACGTGGTCCAAAGTTATGCGTTAGCATACTATTCCGACGAATTGATAACCTACCCCTTTTTCGAAGTCGGTTACAAATGTTTGAGTTTTTTACTAATTTTATGTAAATAAATTCAATTTATGAAACTTCAAAAAGTTTATTTATTTATTACATACTGTACATAAAACTTGCATAAATGTACTTTAATGATCATTTTATCTGAAGCGAATTTTCAGAAGTATAAACCCCTCCCAAAATATATTCCTGGGTGCGCCCCTGCGGCCACCTTTGGCATGTACTGCCGCCATCGCCCAGCAGAGCGATAGAAATAAATCTATCGCCACGAAACGCCGCGGAGCAAACTTCGAATTTCGCTTTGGCTGTGTTAAATCTCATATCCCGGCGGGTGTTCTAATCAGTGTTGCAGCAGCGTTCAGAAGAAATGTATCACCGAAATTCCCCTAAAATGGGTCATGAAAGAAAATTTTAAGTATCAAGGTATCAATCTTAAATAGAACTTCGAATTCTTAAATTAAAAAGTTTCAATTTGTAATTGGGATCGTTGACGGTTTTTATACCCGAGCGCACTTGTACACAAGGGTATTATAACTTTGTTCACATAAGGGTTGTTTGTAACAGGCAAAACGAATCGAGATAGATATAGACAAATGTATACATAAATGATCAGGATGAAAACAGAAATCGATTAAGCGGTTATTGTCTGTCCGTCCGTCCGTCTGTGCATTCCATAACTCGAGTAAAAATTAATATCATCTTAACGAAACTTGGTACGTGTACTTCTTTCGGGCGTAGGACGGATGGTATTGAAAATGGGCCAAATCGGACAATAACCACGCCTTCCTCCCATATAACGATAATTTTCATAAATACGAAAACTGCGATATTTTAGTAACTACTGAAGCTTATTCACTCACAATTGATATTTACAATAATTTTAGACGAAAAATAAGAATATTATAAAGTTTCGAAAAATGGGCGTAGCTACGCCCACTTATGGTTACATGTGTATATCTTGGCAACCGCTGCACCGATTTCTTCCAAATTTGGCACAGTTGTTGGCCTTGGTACAGCATACCAAATGGCCGAAAATGTTTAAAAGCGGACAATAACCACGCCCACATTCCATATAAGGGTAATTTAGAGAAATACGGAATCTTCGATAAATCAGTAAATCTTCTTCTTTATTGGCGCTGTAACCGCCTAAGCGATTTTGGCCGAGTCCAAAACAGCACGCCATTCATTTCTCTTCGGTGCTAACTGACGCCGAATGGAAATGCCAAGTGAAGCCAAGTCCTTCTCCACCTGATCTTTCCATCGGAGTGGGGGCTTCCCTCTTCCTCTGTTACCAAAATCGCGGCCCGCGTTGAATACTTTCAGAGCAGGAGCGTTTCTGTCCATTCGAACGTCATGGCCAAACCAGCGGAGCCGCTGAATTTTAATTAGCTGCTCTATGTCTATATCGTACTCGTAAAGCTCATACAGCTCATCGTTGAATCGTCTGCGATATTCGCCATCACCAACGCGTAAAGGTCCGTAAATCTTTCGCAGAATCTTTCTCTCGAAAACTCCAAGAGCCGCCTTACCAGATGCTTTCATTGTCCATGCCTCCGCGCCATACACCAGCACAGGCATGATGAGTGACTTATAGAGTGTGATCTTTGTACGACGAGAGAGGACTTTACTTCTCAATTGCCTACGCAGCCCAAAGTAGCACTTGTTGGCAAGAGTGATTCTCCGTTGGATTTCAAGGCCGACATTACTATTGGTGTTAATGCTGGTTCCCAAATAAACGAAGTCGTCTACTTTCTCAAACTTGTAACTGCCAACAGTGACGTGTATACCAAGACGCGCATGCTCTGACTGTTTGTATGATGACAGAAGATAATTCAATTTGTCCTTTTTCGCCACCCGACATTTGTTTTGCTTCTCTATCCACTCCCGACAAGGCAGAACAGACGTAGCCCTTGTTTTTACCGACAATATCGATGTCGTCGGCATACGCCAGCAACTGTACGCTCTTTTAAAGTATTGTGCCTGAGCGGTTCAGTTCTGCGGCTCTTATTATCTTCTCCAACATCAGATTAAAGAAATCACATGAAAGGGAGTCCCCTTGTCTGAAACCTCGTTTGGTATCAAACGGCGCGAAGAGGTCCTTCCCTATTCAGACGGAGCTGGTGGTATTGCTCAACGTTATTTTACACAGCCGTATTAGTTTCGCGGGGATACCAAATTCAGACCTCGTGGCATAAAGGCAACTTCTCTTCGCGCTGTCGAAAGCGGCTTTGAAATCGACAAATAGATGGTGTGTGTCGATCCTATTCTCGCGGGTCTTTTCCAAGATTTGGCGTATTGTGAATACCTGTTCCATGGTGGAATTTCCAGGCCTAACGCCACACTGATAAGGTCCAATCAGCTCGTTAACGGTGGGCTTCAGTCTTTCGCACAATACACTCGATAAGACCTTATAACCTATGCTTAGAGGGCTGATTCCGCGGTAGTTCGCGCGTATGGCGGTATCAGTAAATAGTAAAGCTAATT